CCAAAGAAACCACACGGGCTACCATTAACCAGGACAGAGAATCTGACTGAGGAAATGCAGAACTTTATCCATCCCCTCCATCTTTCCCCAAACCCCATCCGCATCATAATGAATTCCAGGAACTCCCAATTGACATGGTCGAAAGCCTTCTCAAGATCCAACTTGCATAGTAAGCCGGGTTCTCTATTTTTCCTTCTGGAGTCTACAAGTTCATTTGCCACCAAGGCAGCATCCAGTATCTGCCTACCTTCCACAAACGCATTCTGGGAGGACGAAACAGTCATGTCAAGTACCTTCTTAAATCTGTTGGAAAGCACTTTAGAAATAATCTTGTAAATGCTCCCCACGAGACTAATAGGCCCGTAGTCTCTGATACAAGATGCACCTTCTTTCTTAGGCACAATAGTAATAAAGGAAGCATTGATACTTCTCTCGAAAACACCATTCGCTGGAAGTATTCAATGGCTTCCATCAACTCCCCCTTGATGGCTTTAGAGAAAACACAAATTTCAGGGTACTATTCCTATTCTCTCAGTTAAGACTTACATCACTTGTACTATTCCTATTTATATGCTTCGAATATTTGGTACCTTTTCCTTATTCAATCTTATGATCGAGTATATTGGCACGTCAAATAGCAGGAAAGAAAGGAAGCAAGGGTCCATAGTAGCTTGTCCCATTTAATGTGTAGCATATTGCTGTTATGAATCTCATGTTCAAGCATATTAGAATGCCACAAAGTAGGAAAGACGAGGAAAGAAAGGGCCACTCCAGCAAAGTAGACCAAGTTCTCTACCTGTCCTTGTGATTTAAACTCATCATAGGGTCGAACAAGATTATCACCACTTATCACTCGAGGCAGCCTCCTTCGAAGGAGTTGATCTTCAGAAGCAATAGCAGATGCTATTTTCATTCTCATAGCATTGGCACCTTCAGTTGTTTTTGACAAAAGATCCAAGACACCACTAACAGGTTGAGCAGCAGCACCAATTAACCCTTTCCCCACACCCTGTACGAAACCTTCAACTCCTGAAGCTTTGGCACCTTCCAAGGGTTTGGTTAAAATTCCAGTGACACCTCGGAAGAGACCCTTTGCAAATGCTCCTCCACCTTCTCTAATAACATCACCAAAGTCCTCCACACCTTTGCTTTCCTGAAACAAAAAGAATAGACCAGAGAGAATGAATATCAACCAGAACTAAATTTCCACAACATAAATGTAAATTCAACATAGTAATGTAACATTTAGGAGGGACATTAACATTTCATGGAAGTGTTACAATGTCAATAAAGATGAAGACATGCACATTATAGAAAAGGTAAAGTTAAAGATTTAACAGTTTCTAAATTTCAGACAATTTAATATGACTTGTAAATTAGTGGTCGAATCACATTAATTGCTATTCAGTAGCATTGAAAGATTAAAGAAGTTTGACAGAGGAAAACCATATTAAAAGAGTCCTGCTCAATAACATGTTAATTCTTAGAGCACCATCTCACATGATTTCAATTGTAGCATTTTCTTGTTCCCAGGCATCCCTGTTTTTCTTGCAGCACCGCACGCACATCATAGATAAGGTAAAACCAAAGATTTACATTTTCTGAATTTTAGCAATTTTACATGACTTGTAAATCAATCATCGAATCACATTAATTGCTATGTTTTTGTTCTCATTGATCTGAGGGTCTATCAGAAACAACCTCCTTACCTCCTTACCTGCACAAGTAGGGGTAAGGTCTATGTACACACTACCCTCCCCAGACCCCACTTGTGAGATTACACTGGGCGTGTTGTTGTTTAACTGGACAGTGAAAACATGAGGAAAATCATGTAAAAAGAGCCCTGCTTTTAATATGATAAGTTCTGGTGCACCATCCCATTGATCAGAGTTCAATTGCAGCATTTTCTTATTCCGAGGCATTCCTGTTTTCGAACAAAATTTCCAAGAGCAAGAATGTATTTGGTACTTATTGCTGTTCAAGAGATAAAGTTCCATGCATCTTTAGCAAATTTCACAAAGAAAAGACATAAGAAAATAGAAAAAAGATGAGAGAAAAGTTAAGACATTGATGAACCTGTTTCTGTCGGCTTTGAATAAATTTCTTATCCATTGATAACGCAGCAACACCTTTACTCATGTGTCCAAGTGCGCTACTGGCATTGCCTAATATATCAAGACCAGACAGTAGCTGGAGAGGCTGGCTAAGAAGATCCTTCTTAATGTTCGCGATAGCACTACTAATCATAACACTATGCCTCATGCATACATTTTCCACAAATCTTTGGTTTATCCGGACCTGACATAATATGAAAAAGAAAATCACACAATCAGATTCAACTTAACAGCTAAGGTACAAAAGGGAGCCCAAAGATGACATGACCACTAAGTTAAGAAACAATCCGTACATAATGGTCCTAGTATTGAGAACAAAAAGAAATGACAACCATGCTAGCTGAACACTGAAGTGGTTGGTGACCAAGACTGAATTGTTACTAAGCGATTCATTTAAGTAAAGTAAATACATGAGCACATGAAACTCTTCTTGATTGCAGACTGCATATACGAAAAGGGTGCAGGTTTCTAATAAGAGAACTATCAAAGGTCCTAGCACTTAGAGAGGTCTCTCTCGTTTAGTAGTTTTTTTTTTTTTTTTTTTTTTTTTTTTGGGTATAAGTTAGAGAGGTCCATCTTTATAAGTAGTTTTAAGCTACCTCAATAAGTGCATTAAGCTTCCTGATTGTAGATCCAGTGCTACTAAATGACCCCCAGAATTATAACCCCTAAAAACAGCAAACAAAAATTCAAATCTTGAGTTGAAGCACCAGAAAGTGCTTACAGTCATATTTTCAGTGTTTCCGAGCGCAGTCATCAGACTAGCCCAAAACCCTAGAACACCCACTGGCCTTTGTGTTGGGGACATGATCATAGAAACCTTCAAGCGGACCTCGGATATGTTGAGAACACTGTCAATAAGAAAAGGCCTTTTATTATAAAAGCTTAGGACATTTCAGAAACTAAATAATAGCATAATAAACGTGAACCTTTACCCAATCTGTATTATGGGATCAACAGAGACTGAAGTAGTTTCTGTATTGTACAATCGACTTAGATTGGTCTGCTGAATCATCCCATGCAGTCGCCAAATTATTGGCTCATGAATCTTAATTAGAAAGGCAGAATTTTCAGGTCCCTGAAAGAAATGTGCCCCCATGATATTAGCAATACTAAGCATAGCAGAAATGAATATAAGGGAGCAGTCTTTTCATAAAAAAGGAATGGGTTCATCTACTAACTTGGAAACCTATGTATGGATATACACATAGATCTAATGATCCATTAGATTGCTGCGTCAGTGAAAATTTCAAAACATAATCGTTCTCTTGTCCAACTCTCTGCGGCCTGAAGAGTACTGGGGTTGGAGTTAAAGGCAATTGATTGTCCACTTGAATACCCCTCATTCTTACTTTTAACCTGAATAATAAAATCTCAGATCTGTTAAATCAGTAACTTCATAGATAAATAATGTAAGTTTAAACAGGAGTAAAATAGTATAGCATCCATCGCCTATATAGAAGGCACAAATATATTATTACCGGCTGACTCCAGACCCCAATCCTGTTGAATATGAGAGCACAAGATTCTGGACTGACAGATATAATATCTCTTCTGGTGTATGATCAATAACTGATAATCCAAGCTCTGCGACCTCAACTATGAAATGGAATTCACTTTCTGTGTTAGAAAGTGTTTGCTGAGACACAGAACTAGTTCCAGAAGAGGGTAATAAAGAAGGATTTCTATTCAAAATAGCGTAGGTTGCACTTTCAGGCATCCAATCACTGATTTTGACTACATTAACTTTCTCTTCTTTTTGGATAATGACATGTAAAGCTTTCTCAGGTCCTCCAGAGACATGGATGGGCTGATGATCACATATCTCATCAATATTATAAATCAGTGATGCTGCAGGATCAGATCCATCAATCAAGACCTCCAACAATCGTCTTCGACCAAGATCTTCCCAAGAAAAGGAAGCTGAGGCATTGGGAGGAAGAAATTTCCATGAATTATTAGCACCATCCACTTGCCGGAAACGTATAGGAAAGAACAATGAGCGGTTTTCAACCCTGTGAACACAAACAGTCAGTAATTTGGTAGAGAAGGTCATGACAGAATATTCCAAACTGATAATTTTAATGGCAGATGCTGAAAGTGAAGAGAGATAAAATGTTGGAAGAAGTGCGACTGGTCAATTCTAACATCCTATATCCTGCCAGCCATTCCATAAATGACAATGGAAACTTATGTGATCTGAAAGAAGGAGAAACAGCAAGACCAAAAAGAATAACACGTCTCCTCATCCCAATGAATATTTAACTCATGAAATTTAAGAGCATAATGAATGAAGCAGCACCGAGGTGACTGATAGCATTACTTTAGAAGAATAGAAAGAGATGTTAAAAAGAACGAACAAGGAGACTTGGGATCTAGACAAGTATTGGGACGAAGTATGACTTCATAGCGTGAACTTTTTGTTCCGCTCCTCACTTCAACCTTGAGATGCATTAGGTTATCAGTGATCTGATCTTTCATGCAAATTGTTGCGGACACGCCGGCGTTGGCTGCAGGCACAACAGGGTGGTGCCTTATTGCACTGAAGGCAGACACAGCCTCTATATCAGCAACAATGAATGGGCTCTTTTTATTTTCTCAATTGCTTTCAGTGTAGGTATATGATCGGGACAACGGCTCTTCTAATCCATAGCTACCACTTCTATATCTCCAGTTCTAAAGTTGAAAGCATTTGCACCATATTTTCTCTAAACCAGATGACTAATTCAACAATTTATTTTTTTTGCATATGAACCAAAAACTATTACAGTTGAGAGGCCGATTTAATAAAAATGAAGGTTAAAGAAGGAAAAATAATCGGACCCAACAGGGTATCAAAAGCTATTGTTTGCTGTAACAAAAAGGATAAGCGAAAGAGAACATAAGAACATCTATCGAGATGAAACTGAGATCATCCAACCAAATACAATTTATCCAAGTTCCCCAAGAAGAGGAAAAAAAAAAAGAGAGACAGGCTCTACCAGCCTTCGTATCTCTATCCACTGGAGATATTCTATCTCCAGCTTACAAAATGTAAGGATTTTCTAGCTCATCCAATATCAATGGTATTTAAGAAGACTATCATAGCGAAACCAAACATGCGGTGCTATTCCCACTAGAATGAAGTAATGACAGCACGAACACCTCAAACAGAATAAATTAACGAATCAAGGATTAAATGTCAAAACTCCAGAGAGAAGAAGCATCAGAATGCAAGTATGTGATAACAGTCAAACCTGTAAGGACTGGTGAAGGAATTGGGACGAAGTATGACTTCATAGCGTGAACTTTTTGTTCCGCTCCTCACTTCAACCTTGAGATGCATTAGGTTATCAGTGATCTGATCTTTCAAGCAAATACACATAACACCTTCACTATCAACACTAAATGGTGCACTCCAATCATATCCATCAAGCCGCAACTGAGAAAGAGAAATAAGAATGAATTAACAGATTAACTTTTATATTGAGGGAGACTATGACTAACAGCAAGGAGAATAATGTTGATTATATACCGACCTTTAAAAGTTCCACTTTACTAGACTGCCATGAAAAATGTTTTGGAGGATCTGAAGGATGAATCCATTCCACTGACTGAGAATCACACTGACGCAGGCACACACTACATCCAACCCTATTGATAAATAAGCTATGTGGTTGAAAATGGACAACCTGCAGATGGATCACTCATTCAGTATTAAATAGACATCTCGGTCGTTTCTTGCATTTGACATCTTCAAGAATCAGATACTTCAGAATACATGGATATCACATGTTTCGAATCAGCCCGTAAGTAGGGATATAAAAATACTTCCTGTGCACATCCTTCAAAGACTATCATTTCTGCACAATATTTCTCTTTTTCTCTTGATATCACGACTCCTAACAACTTGATACCAAGAGTAAGTTTCGTATCATCCTGATGGTCCAAAGCTTGCTCTTCCGTAAGTTGGGAGTTAGGAATTTTCTAATATGATGCCTATTGTTGAGAAAATTTCACTGAAAGAAAATTTTACTCATATGTTGTCTTTCCTGTAAAGCCAAGTCCTACTTTTAACATAGCTTTTCTTTGACCTTTTCCTGACTTTAATTTAATACCCGAACTAACTAAGGGCTACAAATATCATTTTCTTTTAATAAATCCATAATTATATTAATATACAGTTATACAAAAACCTGGTGTTTGGCAAATGGGCTAGACATGTCATAGTAGTATGAGGTCACAGCTGAAATGTTTTGGACTTTCCAAACATCATGATAAAACCTTAAAAGCTTTAGGAAGATGGCCATTTCTTATTTTTTATAAAAAGCATTTCATATTTCTCTTTCTGTCTGCTTTGGATAAGTAGGGATCTCACACTCAATGCTCAAGTCAGGTATTCCCTACTAGATCTGGCTGAGGAAATCTTTTTCCCTCTTTTCCTTAACAAGATTATTTTCATTTTATAAAAATTGAAGCTCATAGAACGAGGAGAAGTGACCAAATGACAAAATCTCATACATGGGGGGATTAGCCAGCTAGTAGAAGAGGCCTACGTGCTGTAAATATATCTATACTATTATAAAAGTACGAATGTTAAAACACTAAATGTTGCATGACGAAAATATCCCTCAAAAATTGGGCCATCACTTAGATATTTCTGAGGTACTACCAGTTTCATCTTTTGGAGATTCAGTCACTCCAGCTCCACCACCTATAGCTCCAGTTCCTCCACATAATACAGTTCAACCTTCTGCAGCTCCACCACTCTTGACTTATCATCGTCGTCCACATCCAGCATCAGGCCCAGGTGATTCACGCCCCGCATAAGATTCTGCACCTACTGCGGACTTGTCTCCTCTTAGTCAACCAATTGCACTCCGCAAAGGTGTACGATCCATACTTAATCCTAATCTCCACTATGTCGGTTTAAGTTATCATCGCCTGTCGTCACCTCATTATGCTTTTATATATTCTTTGTCCACTGTTTCTATTCCTAAGTCTACAGGTGAGGCACTATCTAATCCAGGATGGCGACATGCTATGATTGACGAGATGTCTGCTTTACATGCGAGTGGCACTTGGGAGCTTGTTCCTTTTCCTGCAGGTAAGTCTACTGTTGGTTGTCGTTAGGTTTATGCAGTCAAAGTCTGCCCGAATGGCCAGGTTGATCGGCTTAAGGCTCGTCTTGTTGCAAAAGGATATACTCCGATTTTTGGGCTTGATTATAGTGATACTATCTCTCCCGTGGCTAAAGTAGCATATGTACGTACGTCATTGGCCTCTTTATCAGTTAGACATTAAGAATGCTTTTCTTCACGGTGATCTTGAGAAAGAAGTTTATTTTTTTTTTTATAAGATAAATTGTATTAATCAAAAGGGAGAGAAAACTCCCGTATACAAGAAGGATACCAAAAAGTAGAGAATTTAATATCACAACTTGATTCTCTACAAAAGACGCCCAATCTTCTACATAAGTAGGGGCTATATGGCTGTACTAAAAAGCGATCAAAGATAAAAGACTATTCTTAAGATGTGAAAAAGGAGACTCAATCCCCTAAAAAACTCTCCTATTTCTCTCCCCAAACTGTCCACATGAGAGCTAACGGGGCGAACTTCCACGCCTTTTGCTTGCTTCTTCTACGGAAACCGGCCCAGCTATATAGCATTTCCTTTACAGTGTTTGGCATCACCCAGTGAACACCAAACAGATTCAGGATTGCCCTCCACAAGCCCGAGGACACAGGGCAATGAAACAGATCAACTTCTTCCCCTGAGCTTTTACACATGTAGTACCAACTAACAAGTGTAATTCCTCTCTTTCGCAAATTTTCAGCTGTCAAGATCACTCCCCTCACCGCTAGCCATGCAAAAAAGCACACCTTCGCGGGCGCCTTAGGAATCCAGATCGATGAGTATGAAAAAGTAGCCTCCTCTCTCACCAACATACTCTGGTAAAAGAACTTTACGGTGAACAAACCATCGCCACGCAACCCCCATCTCCAAGAATCGCAAGATGGATGGGGCCTGGCTTGCCCGTATAGCAGTGCCAACAAATTTTGGAGCTCCGCAATCTCCCAATCTTGCATGGTCCTTCTAAAAGAGAGGTCCCATACAACCTCCTTCATGCTCCTTGCGAATCTGTTGGACCATCCATTCCTTCTGGTTTGAAACTCTAAAGACGTGGGGGAAAGAGACCCTCAGAGTAGCCTCTCCACACTACCTGTGATTCCAAAAGCTGATTCTCCTTCCATCTCCCACCCTGTAAGTGATGTTGCCATAGAAAGCTTCCCAGTTCTTCATGATGCTCCTCCACATGCCACACCCGAACGGTGCTGTGATTGCCTTGGTCCTCCAACCCCTTCCGTGGAATCGTACTTTTCTACTATGACCTCCCTCCATAGAGCATTCTCTTTTACCCCGAATCTCCACAGCCACTTCCCCAGCAAAGCTCTGTTGAATACCCTAAGATCTTTTACTCCAAGACCACCCCACTTCTTTGGGGAAGTGACTGTCTGCCAATTCACTAAATGAAACTTTCTAGTTCCATCCGCCGCCTCCCAAAGAAAATTCCTTTGAAGCCGCTCCAGTTTTTCTGTGATGCTCACAGGAGCTTGCAACAGGGACAAGAAATAGGTAGGGATACTCGACAAAGTGCTTTTGATAAGCGCCCAATGGTAGTATCCTTATGCAAAGCGCCCAATGGTAGACCCAGGTAAGTAGTGGGAAGAGAGCCCAACTTACATCTGAGAACATGAGACAAAGCATCAATGTTAGTGACCTCACCCACTGGGAAAATCTCACACTTGCCGAGGTTGATTTTGAGTCCTGATACTATCCGGAACCACTGCAGGACCTGCTTCAGGCAGGTCAACTGGTCCATATCGACATCACAGAAAACCAAGGTGCCATCCGCAAAAAGCAAATGAGAGACTCTTCGGGCACTGAGCACCCCGATCGGAGCTGAGAATCCTCTCAAGAAGCCTCCACCCGCCGCACGATCCATCATTTTGCTCAGAACATCCATCACTAGAATGAATAACATGGGGAATAGGGGGTTATCTTGCATGAGACCCCTGGAGCTACCAAAAAAACCACACGGGCTACCATTAACCAGGACAAAGAATCTGACTGAGGAAATGCAGAACTTGATCCATCTTCTCCATCTTTCCCCAAACCCAATCCGCATCATAATGAAATCCAGGAACTCCCAATTGACATGGTCGAAAGCCTTCTCAAGGTCCAACTTGCACAGTAAGCTGGGTTCTCTATTTTTCCTTCTGGAGTCTACAAGTTCATCTGCCACCAAAGCAGCATCCAGGATTTGCCTACCTTCCACAAACGCATTCTGGGAGAACAAGACAGACACGTCAAGAACTTTCTTGAGTCTGTTGGATAGCACTTTAGAAATAATCTTGTAAATGCTCCCCACGAGACTGATAGGCCTGTAGTCTCTGATA